AAAGAGCCTTAACTGCAGTTCACTGTTGAGAAGTAACCACGTGAGTCTTATCTTGTTTTCACTTGGATGAAGGACAGCATGATATCTGTTTAAATTCATTGCACAATAGAGCTGTTTATTACCCATGTATTTCAAAGCAAACAAGCAAACATGAAATTGTTCTGTAAGTGTAAAATAAGTGGACGTGACTGGGTATCAAGACTGTAAACAATGGTCCTTTTTTTTTTTTTTACTAGCTATGCTATTGCTGACAATTTGAACAGATTCTTTGTATGCAAAACTATTGTGCACAGGGTGTAAACATACCTAACTACAAGTGACTTGAGTTTTTTACTGTCTGAAAAAATACTGTCTGGACTAAATGATCCAACACTGAGCTCTTGAGGAACGAGCCTGGAGTTAGAGTGATAGTCTGCTGTACATAGCAGCTGCTATGGGAGACTCTTCTCCTGCTCTCACTCTACCATGTATGATAGGCCCAGAAAAAACCCTGCTGTAATTCAGCTTTGATGTGAAACACTGCAGGCTCTAGGTGATGAAGCTGGTTGGTTGTTTTGAGCTGAGCCAGTCCCTGGTCATCCTTAAACACATCTGGCAGATTTATGTATTTTTACATTGAGCCAATGGAGTCAACAGGCAGAAGGCCTTATACACATGCACTTTAAAAAGCCAGTTGTGCTTTTGTTTAAACTGTAACTTATTTATTTTATGTACAGTTACTCCTCATGTGGAGCAGACTTTTCATTCTTACTGCCTGTTTCAACATTAAATTTTTTGAATTGCATGTTTCTGTGTGTGTGTTCCTCATGTGTATGAGAAACAATTAGTAATAACTAGTGAAACACTAAGACAAAAGTAAGTTTTCTCTAGGTAGTTAACATACATTGCATAAACAGTTAAGAAGGCCTTTACTGCCTATACTCTTTTATTAGCACGATCTGCAGTGGGGAGGACTCTTATACCCCTTTTACAATGTCCTTGTAAAAAATTCTTTCAGGAGAGGGACTGAAAAAAGCAGAGACCTTACAAAACAGAACTAGATTATTTGTGTCCTCTTCTCAAAAGGCTATTGAGAAAAGAATGATGTAAGGAAGATCGAAACTGGCAGAATACTGAGTTTTAAGTGACTTACTTACACTTTCTTAAAAAAAGGCAGTAGAACAGTTTTGCACATTAAGTTATATGGCACAATGAAGAATTCAATCCAATTACTGCAAGTCTGCAACTGTTTTATTTGTGTATAAAGTAGCTTTAATGTGAGCTCCTACTGCATCCTCTCACTGAGGAGGACGGTTGTGCTTGTACTAGACTGACTGCCACACAGTCTCACTGGGTTAGCACACAGCCATAATTATCAGTGTGGGGAAACACTAACAAGATCCTGCTGCTGATAATCTTTTGACCATAAGCCTGCCACCCCAGCCTGGCCAACTGATTTAGGACAGGGCTTATAAACAAAACTGAGCCTGCCCATCCAGCCTGAACTTCTCACCAAATATTGCTTAGCTAATTCTAGTAGCAAGCCTCCTTGCTAAGAATGGCCTTGTGTTTTCTCCTCCCCATCCTTTTGAGTTTAGTTTAGGGTCACATATGGAGGTCTCAGACACTCCTTGCTGTGGTCCTGCACCCACCTTGAAGGGCACCTGCCCAAGCAAAGTCTCTTCTGCACTGCTCCTGCTTGCATGTGACTGGCAGGAGCTTTATGTGCCTCCGGCAGCCCAAAGAACAAGGGAAAGGTTTTGCCAAGGCAGAAGAACGCCCATCGCCCTAGCGTTTTCCCAGCACATTTTATGTGTAGCTAGTACAGCTGTTTCCTACAAAGGTGGAGTTACTTATTACATGAGAGCCCCTGCAAAGACTCAATTCCAGTCTTGTTCTAGAAGAGGAGCAGGCTTTCTTGCAGCTGTCTGGTGCTCCCTCTTTTAACTACTGAGAACAGGATGGTGGCGGAGTCCCAGCATCCACCTCCACATCTGTGACCCACTGGCTGAAAAGATCCCTCCAGCAGGGGAGCCTGGAAAACCAGCCACTGCCTCAGGCAGGGGAACTGCTTGACCTGTAAGACGTGCAATAGCACCAGTGTCGTCTTAAACTCAATTCCCTTCTCATTATCCTCTACAAAATGTCCTCAAATGGCCAGGTCAGAGACCTGAGAGCACTTGATGAAAGCTGGGTGGGGGAGAGGAGACCACAGCCCCCACACTCTATCATCTCAGGAAAGCAAGCATCTCAGATAGAGACAGGAGTACCTGAGCGCCCTTGGGCCTGTTGACAGAGGCCAGCAATGACCACTGGATGGAGAAGAGCCTTTCTGCTGCCAGCAGAGTACGGAAACCCCTCCAGGACGGAAGCTTTATGTGCCTATGGGCAATCAAACAGTGCAAAAGAAAACTGGGTCACAGGCATGTGCTGTCTGGGCATGCACAGCCTTGTGTAATCAGAGGGAAGGAGCAGAGGGCTGAGGTTGGCTCAAAGTTAGGAGCTTTGCTTTATTGATTACATAATTTTCAAAACATCTATATGCTAAGATAAACAGTTCAGAAGGAAAAAAAAAAGAAACCAAAGGGACAGGCTATTTGCCTTCAAGTTGCTCTGTTAAATATTTCTTGAACTTTTAACATTACAATCTCATAATATTTCTCATTTTTTAATAGCACAAAGTTCCATTCTATAGTGATTCTTACAAATCTCTTTTCCATAGAGGCAACATTGTCCATGTTTTATAATCAGTTCATTGTTCCCTTCTAGCCACTCAAGAGTGAGTTTAAATCAAAATGCAGCCTTTTCTGAAGACCATTATAAACATTTAAGAGAACTTAAGCTAGCTACTGAACAAAGGTTAAAAAGCTACTTCCTCTTTAATATATTCCTTTGGCATAATAAAGAATGCTATGATAGAGCAAACTTCACATCTAATTTCACATTCACATTCTCAGTGTAAGCTGTAGTCTGAGCATCCCTGGGATGAACCAGGAGGATGCAGCTTTATAGCTCCACCATTTTATGCTGTAATTTTGAAGTCTTGGTGCTTTATGCAATCACAATCCCTACTGGCTGATGCTTTTTTTATTCTAGATTATATCAAAGTTTTATAAAGAAAAATTACATAACTGAGTTTGATAGCAGCTCTTTCATGATCATAAATCAAAAGCTGTTCTCTAATCATGCTGTTCAGGAATGTAGCTCAAGAAAGAATCTGCCATTACGGCTTCTTCAAAGTGGGAATATGCTTTTTTTTTCTTCTTTTTTTTTTCTTTTTTAAATGCATGTGAGAGGAGCATTTTTCTGGGGTTAACATCAAACCATCACAGCCCATATGTCCTACTGCGCAAAACTACAGGGAGTGTGCCATTAGAAACAGTCTTTTTTCTGGGACTGTGGGTGGAGAAACTAGAGCAGGAACTGGGAATCTGAGAGAGAAGCAACCATGTAACTCACCACTTGATTCTGGCTCCAGCAGTTGAGCTGGGAGCTGTTCTGCTGCTGAGACCAGGGTTGTACCCTGGCCTCTCTGGGGTGAGGGACAAAGTAAGAGCAGAGGCTGCTAAGGCTCCATAAGGCACACATGTTTTGCAAGGTAACATGACAAAGAAGGTGGATTTTGCTAGCCTCTTCCTCCCTCAGCAGCATTTCTCACCAGAAGCAACCCCAGCGAAGCCATCAGGATTACTCACAGAGAAAAGGCCTGCTCAGGAAGTGCAAATTCAGCAGCCTGGGGTTCTTCAGGACTTTTCCTCACTTTGCCCTTTTCCAGGGAATTATTAGAAGCAGCTGTCCTTGCTTGTACTGAGTGAGGCTAAGGGAAGGCCAGCGTATACTAGGTGACTGGGGACCACGCTGCGTTATCTTTAAAGAAGGGAGAGCTGGCCACTGGACAACAGGACCATTTTTAAGTGCTCGCCTTCTTGCAGCCAGGTACCCAGCTGCTTATGATTCAGTTGGAACCATAACTGCAGCAGAGGACATGTCATTTTTGGGGGGACTACTGGAAAGGGTGACAGACCAGGGATTTGATGTTTCCAGGGAAGGCAGCCACTTCTCTTCTCCACAGATCCTCCCATGTCAGATATCAGAGTCAGGCTCGAGATGCTCTGCAGCAAACAACAACTCGATAACACTCAGTGGTGTCAGGAGTGCTGAGGAGAGCACAAGTACCTGGAGAAAGGAGGAAAAGAAATAGCACATCAAAATTAAGGGGTTTGAGACTGACTGCAGTATAAATGAGAGGTGCACATGAACTGTCTGCTTACACTCCACTGGATACGCTGTATGTTTCTGGTGCTTACTGACAGGGCAATACAACTTGCCCAGTGATACTGTCTGCTGGCTAATAACTGTAGTTAAATCTCTTAAGGAACATAATGACTAGTAGCATTGTGCTCTTAATGAATGTGTGCTTTGACTCATTTCTACCCACATCTTACCCAGTGATTTGTTGTGACTACCATTGTGTTTACCGGGAGGCACCAGATGATTAACCAGCAGTTTCCTCTCCTATAGCACAGAATTTTGTCAACGCGCAGTTTTGAATGACAGCTGTTTCCTCTCTGTTTAAGATAAGGCAAGCAGGACAGAAGTGTTGCCTGCCTGCTGCAGCTGCTCAGTGAACTACAGTCCCTGTTCAGAAATGTCTCTTCAGACAAGACACCCTTGGTTCTGCACATCATGATCAAAGTTCAACCTTGGGCATTGCTGGGATGTTCCTGCTTTTGTTTGGTTAAGTTTTTAATCCAAGGTGGGCCTGATGAACGAACCTGTCACTACAGAGAAGACAGGCACATTGGTAGCTGCGCACTGAATCTATTTTTCTCAAGTGAAAAACAATACGCAGGCCTGTGGTGCAAGGGCTTGCCTGCAGGGCAAAGCTATCAAGGAGCTAGTGTGTACAGAGCTCACTTAGGGTCACGCTGCTCTCAAAGTCATAGGACACCTGCTCTTGCAAAGCCCTGCGCTCAGCAGCATTCGTGGGATCAGGACTAATGACCAGCAAGCAGGGATGTGGCAGAGGATTTATTGTACTAGCCCACTTGAAAATGAATTTGCTTCTTCAACGCGAAGGCAAGGAGGGAAAGCACAAGCACCAACAACACTGAGTGCGTGTGTGCGTGTTTCCCGCAGTAGTTATCAAATTGCTTGCGCTCTTCATTGCAGAGCATGAAGCACTCAGCTCACACGTGTGGCCTGTACAGTCTAAGATCGCAGGAGATTTTTAAAGAAAGGTTTAGAAGACGAATGCAGTTTAGAATTGGTAGTACTACATTTCAAATTTTTGTTGTTCTTTCTTTCATCTTTTCACTTCAAATAATGAAAAGAATCTGGAGTTAAATTACTACGGATCTCTTTTGTACTGATGATCGTTTCCCCCTCAGCTCCCCTCTTCCCATATCCTCCCACACAATCTGCAGCAAACTGACACTGATTATCTCTTCTGCTTCCTATGGCTGAAAAACTATTTCTGTAATTTGCAGGTGCCAAAGGCTGACACCATCTTACTTAAGTTATGTAAGAATGTATAGCACAGAATGTGCTCATCTTGGTAACACCCAGCTTAATTCTGAAAAACATGAGGGGGCACATTACCCAAGTTTTTGGCCAAGCAACAACAACAGCCACTGCCAGATAAAAGCAATTTCATCTTGGAGTCCTACTGTTAAACCATGAGGGGATTTGTCTAACTGATAACAAGCTCAGATAGAAAAATGAGAGCCATGACTTTAACTTATGGGCAAGGATAAAGCTAAATAAATACTGTGGGACTTTCCTCCTTGCCCCCTGCTATCTTTGAGGGTTCTGCATGGAGATAAATGTGAATATTTGTCTACTCATTTTTACAGAGAATGGGTGAGCTGCTCAGATAAGAAATGGCCATATTTTCTTCAGGCAAGGCTATTCAGGACAGTAAATTTCCTTTGCAGACCTTCTCCTTATTCAATACGTTGTGCCTGTCTTTGATGCTCTAGGTGAGGGGATGCTGCTCCTGCTGACAGCTGAGCTACAGCAGCCAGGAGCTCACAGCTGGCCCCGCGCGCTGCAACGGGCAGCACCCGCAGAACAAGGGAAGAGAAGGATGCATCTGCAGGGATTTATCTGTCCGCATGCCTTAGCTGTAACTACATATACTTGAAGGGGGGGGGGGTAACAACTTCCACTCCTGCTCTTTACCCTTTTTCACTCTCCTAATTAATGAAAAAAGTCATTTTTTCTTCTTCTATTAGGATACTTCTCTGTTGGTTAGGTACTGTCAGGGAGGCTACTCAGCACCTTCAAAAAACAAATGATGCCTAGAAAATACTATATTCCCCTGTGCTTCACGATGAGAAATGAATTTGTCATTTATACTCGGACGAAGAGCACCTCTGTGGATGGAACCGTGTTTTCTGCCTCACACTGAAATGCCACTTGCCTCAACTACAAACAAACGCTGCAGCAATTAGTGCATCCTGTCAGTTTTTCTGTTACTTTACTCGATTCTTTATTTCTGCACCCACACGCCTTTCTGTTTCTCCAGAGACAATAATTAGCAGCACTGTCCGTGCTTTGTCGGAACGGAATGGAACCGTGGGGCCAGCGTCTTCCTCCTGCCCTGATGTCTCAAACCGATTGCCTGAATGCCACAAAAAAAGCTCTGTTAAATGCTGGCTCGGGTTAGACAAATGCCTGGCGTTTTGAAAAGAGAATAATCCCAAACAGGTGGCACATATTCACAAGCTGTAGTGCAGAAATCCAGGTAAATCCAGCTAACTCATAAACATTTTTATATGAGAGACTTAAACAACTGCTTCTTTTCTTCTTTTCTTCCTCCTCTACACTCTCCCCTGAAGTCTTTTCACCTCTAACATAGCACATTTGGACAAAGGGCAAGAGGCAGTAAAAGCTTAAAATTCTTTAGGAATCTGCCTCAGAGGGTGACCTGCCACCAGGGTTAAGCCAAAGCAAAGCAACACCAGATCCCGTGTCACCACCGTCAAGCCTCAATTCCCTCTAGAAAGCTAGTCAAAAGTCTTACTGCATAGTTTTCAACCAGCTCGCCTGTTAACCCCATGCTTATCTTTCAAGGTATATTAATACATTTAAGGTGTGGATTAACTTGTCCATCAGTGTGTCACAGTTCAATCCCTGTTCAAGATGGGAAAGAATTTTATTCACTGTGTTGAGGAGATTAGCAATAGGCTAATTGGGGAGAAATGTGTTATCAGATGAAAAACCATTACTTAAAATTGGTATTCAAGCCTATAGAACAGTGCTTGAGACTGCTTCACAAAGACAACTAAAACGTGGAAAACACATGTGCAACCCAGGGGTGGCTCAGGCTTGGTTGGCTCTGTCTTGCTAATGATTTTTCACTAATCAAAACTGAATTCCATAGGAATTGAAAACAAGATGTTTACACGCCACCTTGGAAACTAGACTTACGTTTATGATGCAGCTGGTTATACAGCACTTGCATCTTTCTGCAGTTTTTAGATTACCTTGTATAACTGCACTACCCGGAAGACATCCGATTGCTCTTGTACATATTCCTCCACAATTAACAATGATTTTTAACATCTTAGACGCTGCCAGAGCTCATCCATCCTCCTCTTTTGCCTCCCCACTCTACTCAGATGACAGCTGCTATCGTCAAGTTCTGCTGCCAGAGAGTGAAAGAGGCAAAGACCAAGCGCATGAAGGCTATTGAGGCTACACTGCAGGAGCCATCCTTCTGGCAGGAGTCCAGCAGCATATCCAAGAGCCATGGAGACTTTGGGCTCTCTCCCCATCGTCTGCTTCAGGCTAGCCAAGGCATCTAGTGCAAGGGCAGTTCAAAGCAGCACCTGCTGTTAGGAGCTGAAGTCTCATCTGTGGCTAATGGGGGGACTAAAGTGTCTCCAAAACTGAGTAGGAAGAAACACTTGCTATGGAGGAGGGTCAGGAAGAATAAACTGCATAAGGGACAGCGGGGATACTGTGAAGGAAAGGCAAACTCAAGGATAGGTTGGAGTATTTTTTTAGAAAAGCTGGTGAAATGTTGTCTGTTTACTTGTGTCTAAACTGCCCCAGCCATTAACCTCCTTGGGAAAGGGTTTGTCTTTGACTCTGTGGAAAAGGGTGCCTGGGAAGAGGCCGACCTCTCAGTTGCTGCACACACTCTCTTGCATGCAGTGGGCAGCTGGCATTTTAATCTTGGAAGTGGAATAAAAGGAAAATGGCCTGAGGTTCAATGTCTGGGGTATCTAGACATAGATCTTGTTTGTCAAGATTTTAGAGGAAAGGTGCAAGCCACTTATCAGTAGAGAGCAATGAGAGGCCAAAGGAGTAATTTTGGGAAGGTTCAAATGCGCAGTGCGCTTGGACAATTCTGCTCTAACTCCCTCAGCTGAAGTATTTTATTTTTGGCATCCTAAGACGAACTCAGATATTAATTTAGTCTTTTCAATTGAAATTTTGATTTGTGACACTTAGATCCAGTACCTTTTCATGTTAAACCTGTAATCACAAATGTTTTCTGCCCCTATCTGAGATGGCTTTTAAACAGATAGTCCTATCTGCTCCTTGGTGTACTTGGTGGGGCTGTTCCTAGCAGTGGTATGTCTAACAGGGCAGGTTCATGGTCTGGTCCAGAAGCAGCACAGCTATATCCAGGTTAGCCTATCTTGCTCTTCAGCAGTGCTGATTAACTTATCTGGTCCATCACCACTGATACGTCACTAGAAGGTATGCAGGTCCTTGGCAGGCTCCTTCTGAGCATTCTTGCACTATGGCTTGTAGGTGCACTACCAGGGAGCTTGTAGCCTCTTGGACACCAAATGTTTCTGCTTAAAAACAATTCCAGTACATGAGTCTTTTGAGACTTGATGAAAGCTCCTTCAGAATAATGCTAGTCTGTACCGAAGGCCAAGCCTCCAACCTGAGTTGGAACTTTAATTGCTGACTCTAACATGTGAAAAAACAGATGCTTTGAGTCTGAACACTCGTTGGCGACAGATGTTTCACAGCAAAATCCTAACACCATTACCGTCTATGTGGCTGTGGCTTGGTGTAGGTTTGGTACCAACACTACAGCCAACATCATCCAATGGATTTGCTTAGTGTTTGTTCAGATAGAAACTGCATATTTAGAACTCTTTTTACCTGAGTACCAGGTTTACGTGCTGCTACCAGGTCCTTCACCATTTTGACCTCGGAGACTGTCACTCCTCCAATCACATAGATGATCAGAAGAGGATGATCACCAGGGTGAGGGCGATTCACCTGTAAAACGACAGAAAGCATTATTTGTAGCTGCTCATTCCCTCTCCAAACTTGTGCAAAGCATACTGGCACCATGAGCTGCCAGAGAAAGACAGACTGCTGACAAAGATGCTCAGAAATAAATATTCGTGGAACATTGGGTCCCGCAGCAGTTGAATGGGAGATCATTGGGGATAATGTCAGCTTAAAAATGATGAACTTCTCCAGGGATATGGAGTCTTCATGGCTTCCACTGAAGTCTAAAAGAGTTTCCCATGGGGTCTAAGGACTTCTCCTTCCATTCTTTCTTCATTCCTTTTCTTTCTTTCCCAGAGTGGGAGGGCAGTACTTGGGTAAATGCATAGTTTGGATACATGTATGCTTAGGGCTTTAAGGAATGAGGGGCAAATTATGATTTAGTAGAAGCAAGGGGTCCAGTCTAAACATGTGAGAATCCCTGCCTTAGGTCAGCAATGGAAAGAATCATAAATAATGTTTTCTCATCAATGCAATGAATAATCCTTTATAATTCATCCAATGAAAATAAATAAGGTTCATTATAGTACAATTTCAGGTTTTAGCTCAATTCACTTCAAAGTTTTCAATATTGCTATGATTGGGGTGTAATTAATATGGAAAAATTGTAGCACAAACAACACATTTTTTTCATTTTTTCTAATTATCATTAAAATGGCACAAACATTCCATTTCAGTTAAGACTCCCAAAAACTACTTTTTGTTTTTAAATGTGAAGGTGATGTTTTACATTAGTTTCCTCTAAACCATTTCTAAAAGTATGATTAGTTTGCTGTTTTCTCACACTCGCTTTCTTAATAAAACACCCAACCCTGATAAAGCCTTGTGCCAGGCTCTGCGGAGCCTTGGGATGTGATGTCAACGGAGCCCGTACAATTGCTCGTTATGCCACCACATGCCTTTGAGTATGAAACACTCAAAACGTTTGGCTCTCGAAGGTGACACTGAGAACAGTTCAATTTGCTCTTTTTTACACTCTCCACCCCCTCGCCTTCCAGCTGTGTAGGTTTTCGGCAGCATTCATTCGACAGAATGAGAGTGGTAATCAATCCGTGTCTGGGCGGAGCGCAGTCGCTCTGCTTTCACCACTATGGCAGCTACTATCTTTGATCCCTGTGGCTCCAGCTCCTCAGGGTGCAGCTCTTCTTCTGTTCCTTATTGTGGCTGTCCTATATTTAGTCTTCGGGCAGTTTTTTGTCCTGCAGCTCCGTCATGCTTTCTGACTGGCAGCCTTCAAAAGAGACTTTTCCCTTTGAAGCAAGCACAGGAGGACTGTGCACTCTCTCTCTCTCCAGGCTGGCTGGTCTTTGATTACACAGTGCTCCCTATTTAATGCTGCTCCCCAAGCACAGAGCTCTTGAACTCTTCAGGAGTTTGAAATCTGTACAAAAAGCCTTAGACAGATGTATTACTGAGCTGAGTATTTGTGTATTGAGTGTTTATTCTCTTAATCTCACCTGCTTTCCTAGTCATCTTCATTCAACTGATGGCACAGATAGTGTATATACTACAAAGTAGCAGGATGTCCTGCAATTCTAGGGCTACACTTAGCAGTTTTCCACTTGGACTAACAGAACGATTAAATCAGTATACCGGGCCTTACAAAGACCTTCTCTCTCTTTATCCACTTTCCCATGTTAGACTTCTTGCCCATGTGACACTTTGTACTATCTGCATAAAACAGTGTTAACCTCAAGAGGAAAAAAGCCCACTCCTTAATTACAAATACCACGAGGAGTTTGAGTAAGATCTAAATATTTACTTTAAAAAAAAGGTCTGCTAGAACTATTATTTGCTCAAATATTAAAGTATTTCATGTCATAATTGCTGTAAGCAGTGAAACAAGGTTAAAGAACTAACTGCTCACAAAGATGATGAGTATAAAAGTTGGCAAAACAAAATGCTGTGCTACTGCACCTCAAGGCAATACGAGAATTACTAGTTTTATTCCTTTTTCTGGCTCTTTTCTACTCTTATTCCTGCCACCAGAGCAAACTACTCCACTCCATTTCATGAAGATTCATACGTGAAGACCTCGAACTCCAGAAGCTTGCTATTGAATAAAGTCTCTCTTTCTTAATATCATTCCTAGTGACAACAAACTCATCATAAACATGCATGTATAACATTGGAAAAACTGTAAGGGCACCCAACACAGGCTTTCATGGCTATAGTAAAGAAAAAATATCTTGACAAATCATTTCCTTCAGTCAAAATAAGCCTAGATCCAAACATATGTTCCCTATATAAAACTTATTATTTTTCTCAAGTTTGAACCACAAATTCCAGAAATGCATATTAAAAATACTATTAGGCATGCAAACTCTGAATTAAATTAAAGTTGCAATGAAAAGGAATCTGTAATTTTCTTATGCTATGCGCAAGTGTTTTGAAGGAGGACAATGTTTTGGGTAGAAAAATATTTGGCTGGGTTAAGAACGTAATTTTTTGCCAAGATTTTTTGGTTTGATAATACAACCACCCAAGGCTGTCTCTTTTGAAGGAACTGGCTTCATGTAGCTAAACACATCTCATTTCTGCGATATAGAAGAAGAACTGAAATGAACTGCAGCAAAAAGCAATGTGCACATTCTGGAATCCTCCTAAAAACTAGTTTGTTTCAGGACATTTCCAGATCCTGTAAATCTCAGTTACTGTGAAATTTTAATTTTGCAAAAGCCCCTGAATGAAATTCACTTTCAGTTCAAAAGGCCATGCATTAAAAATGATTGCTACACTTACCTTGGGCAATTTGGAAGACTAGCTAAGAAAAAAGCAGAACCCTGAAAGCCTCTAGCTGTGATGAGCCTATATAGAGATACACTCAAAACTTGGTCAACTGATGATACCACATGCCCTGCTGGCTTTGCTCTCCCAGACTCTGTAATCACCACGTGACAAAGCTTGTGAAACCTCCTCTACATGTTGTTGGGCAGGTGGGCAGAGAGCAAGGCCTGCTGCTGCAGTTGTAACGGTTGGTTGCAGGACTGATGTAATGGCAGAGAAGAGGCCTGTGTGTTCCCCATCAGGAAAATCCCCTGTAAACAGAGGCAAAGGAGGCCAAAGGAAGGATGCTTCCCTGGACCAGCAGAGCTTTCTGACTGGACACCAGTGCCTTTGCTGCAGCTCAGAGCTGACCATTGTTGTATTTTCTGAGGATGGTGGTGGTTAGAGGGCTCACTGCTGGCACATGTGTCTGAACAGAGGAGCACAAGTGGAGGAGATGATGGGAAAGCAGGGTGAAGGTGGTCTGTAAAACTCTGACCAAACACCGCTGTTTCCTCTGAGGGTCAGCAGAAGTGACTTTGACCGGCCCACGAGGGCTAACTCTGCCAATTAGGAAACCAGCACAGTGCGTCTGCTATTTGTGACCAATCATAAACCAATTAATCCAGCTGAATAACTGGAAAAAGTAACAGGTAAACACATCAATCTTCTGAAACTAGACTGCTGTGCAGGGCACTCGGTATCAGTGAAGCGGTCTTGCTTAGATCATCAGAAACCACATGTGGTCTAGAGCTGCAGTAAAAAAAGGAATTCTTGAGGCAAAGAGGCCTTTTCCCTTCACATTAACTAAGCTTCAAAACAAACACATCAGCTAGAGAAACGCTCTCGGATGAGAGGTACCTTTAAAATTCCTTCCTGGTTGAACAAATTTGAGTCGGTCAGATAAGAGAGGCACTAATTGTGACAGGAGAGGGAAAGACTCCTTTGACTCCTGCTCTGTCATTCAAACTCTTTGCAGGTTCTCAAATATTGTTTTCTGACAGGAAGCAATTTAAAAAGCAGGGTTACCTATGCCGAGGGACTGGCTTAGGAGACATGAATCGAATAAGAAATTAAGTCCTTTATTGTGCAGCAGTGTTGCAAGAGGTGGCTGTAGCCTAATATATCTGGGACAGCAAAGGCTGCTTTTATCACTTACCAAAGCATTTTTATTTGAGTTGGCATTTATATTCAGGAACTGAGAACGAAATATAAATGCAAGGAAACCCATGAAATAATTACAGTGCTGATGGTGCAGTAAGTGGAAAAGATCAGCTGCGTGAGAAATACAGGCTGGTCAGAAACTCATTCACACAATAATGGAGCACCAGCCAACACGCCAAACTACAAACTAAATGAGCAAGCGAGAACACGTATCTGCGAGGTAAGTGATGATGTTCATGAAATATTCATCCTACATAATGTTCACTTGCTCAGCTGTTATTTATTCCTTAGGAGAGAATATATTTACTACTAGCAGAGATGCAGGTACTTGAGGCAACAAGTGCTGCGGAAAAACTCTGAGAGGAAACATAAACGTCTAAACTGGCACAAAAAACCAAGTTATAAGCGCAGCAAGACCAGCAGGAAACACTGATATGAAAGATTTAAGTCACATAAAGACTTTTAAGAGCTTGTCTTCACACAAACAAGACTGTGAACAGAGAAGAGAGGGAGAAAAAGATGGAGAGTGGCTGAACACTGACACGCCTCTGTCCCAATGGCAGTTCTCTTTCTATGCCTCCTGGATGTTAATTTCCCCACCTCAAAATAATTTTTGCTTTTTGAGTACACGTTTGCAACGTGCAGTGTGTCAAGCTGTTGCCAGCAGACCCAGCACTATGTTCGTTCGGGTGCAATTTGCACCTCTCACTGCTGCGAGGGAGAACAGCCCAAAGGGAAGGCACGGTTCGAGTCTCTGCAGCCTCCTCCAGGTACCTACATCTGCGCCTCCTTCAGGTGGGTTTCACTGTGGGTAAGAGGCTACTGACACGGTTTTGTTTGTCCCACAGCCTCCTTGATATTAGAAAGATTTCAGTACAGGACTTTTATTTAAATAACAGTCTGGATCAGAGCAGTTCCCTCCTTCTAAGTGAGTATGAAGCTCTACTCATAATACAAATTTTACTAGCCAGAGTACCTTAAAACAAACTGAAAAACAGGAATAAGCAGTGAAAGAAAAGCAGATGGGAAAAAGCAGAAGCTGAAATAAAATGAAGGTGAAACCTTCCTCTTTCTTGTCCTTCCCTCATTCATCTTTTTTCCTCATGCTGTAGCAGTATCCTACCCTCTCTGTACGACAGAAATTCAGGAGCTACAACAAGGTTTGCCAGCACACGTCCAGTCATAGGACTGAGGAAACCTGAAGTTACCTAAGATTTTAGGTAACCTCTAGTTCAAACTGATTTTTCAGATATACGTTTCAGAGAGTCCAACTGGACTTTATGAGATTGTCTTGATACAACTGTAATAAAATAAAAATAACCTTTTCCTGCCTCTCTAAATCACTCTCCCAGTATGTCCTTACTCATCACTCCTGCTGCCCTCCAAGTATCTGTGGTGTTCAAAGCCGTCGTAGCAGGCCCTTTTTTCTTTTTTCTCTCTCTCTTCTCTCCTACTAATCTGCTGAAACAGGTTGGACATACATTCAGCTACCATCCCTGTGCTGATCCACCTCTTCAGCCCAGATCTCCTCGTCTCCAAACTAAATCTGTCTCTGATATCTCTTGATGGTGGTCTAGCTATGTTCAGTTTGACTTAACTAGCATTTTAACTCTTTTGCCCCTAACTTTTCAGGTGCTATGGATATCGTATCATCTTACTCTCAACAGGTCCCTAAATCTGGCACCATCTTGAAACTCCCTCTAGGTCTTCATATCCACACGCTGTTTAAATCTCGTAGATACCAGTTATATAACATCTTGGAGATCAGTCTTCTATCTATCTGCCTGGGTCAGGCCTCTGTTGGTACCACATCCTTATTTTGACAGATACAAACACATGTATATCACATATGCATCCAATATTTTCACCATCTTACTATTTTCTTATGGCTCTCTACAATATCCTACTTTTCTTTCATATCTAATAGAAGCTGTTTGTCTTTTATTTCAATGCTTTTCATGCCTATCACACCTTGACAGACAAAAAGGCAGGGAAGAGACCTCCTTCAAGCTGTCAGCTTGTCTATGCCTCATTCTGTATGGAAAAGTCAGCCTTCTCCTATGGAAAATTCATCTCATGATTACATCCCCCAATGGCCATTTGTTACATTTTCAAGAACATATTTTGTGTTCTTTCTTGTGCTCTGCCTCCAGCTTGTGAGAAGCTCTCTGCACACCTCCACAAGGCTACTTCCTCCTCTTCCTCTTCTGACGTTATACAATTACCAGAAATGGAAACACTGGCTGTCATGCTGATTGATCCTGTCTCACTGTTTCCCTGAACTCCCACATCTGTTTGGATCTCAGTTAATCCTGCATTCTGCACGCTCTGATCTTCTGTTCTGTGTTAGTGCAGCAAAAAGTGCAACAGGGGTCTCTGTGACTAGGATATCTCTGTAATACACTTCTGTGATGATACACACACAGACACTTGCACGCATGAACGTTAGACCTTCTGGAATCCGTATGTTTCTTGCTGTTGTTTTTTGGTAAAGAAAGGACAAGCTATGTTCCTGCTTAAAAAATAAAACCAAATACCATGAAATAAATGCAATTGTGAGAGTTACTGGTAAATAAAACCAATCATTTCAGAAGCCACTTGTGTGCACCAGATTGTTTACTCTGTTTGACAGTGGAGCAACTGTGTCTTCTACTATTTCTGGAGTGCCTGCATAATTTTTTTTTTCAGGTCTCATACATGAATAGAAAGAACACCGGGTCCCTATTTCTATACCTATCCTCTTCTGCTTCAGGACTTTTTGAAAATTCACTGCAACACTAGGTGGAGATTTCTGAAAACAGAGACTGAACTTCAGGCATATCAGATTTTGTGTCTGAGACTAACCTGCTCTGAAATAACACAAAAATAATTTTGTTACATATTGATAATGGTTTGATAGTAATGGCTGATAATGGGACAGTACCAATACAGCAATCAAAATTAATCTTGTCACCTGTCTTGAAATGTATAACAGACCTAGCAGGCGTTCACACACAATAGAAAGAATGTTTTGTCCTTTCAGTTATCATAGAATTGCAGAATAACTCAGGTCGGAAGGAGCACACCTTTGGAGCTCATCTAGTCCACATCCCTGCGCAAAGCAGGGCCAACTTCAAAATTAGGTCAGGTTGCTCAGGGCTTCGTAGAATCAAGTTTTGAATATCTCAAAAGACAGAGATTCCACAGCCTCTCTGGACTTAACCACTCTCATGGTGACATTCTGTTTTCTTATATCCAATTGGAATTTCCCGTGCTGCAGCTTGGGTCCACTGCCTCTCACCCAGTTTGTGGATACCTATTCTAAACTGGACGGTCCAGGTGCAGCCTCCTCAATGCTGAGTAGAGGCAAATAATCATTTGCCTTGATCTCATGGACACACTTACTGATGGAGCCCAGGCTGCAGTCAGCCTTCACCACAGCAAGAGCAAACTGCTGGAGCATGTTCAAGGTCTACAGCAAGACTCTCAGGCCCTTTCCCACAGAGCTGCTCCCCCACCAGTCGGCCTCCTGTCTTTGCTGTGGCAGGGGGTCCTGCCTGCAAGACTCCATATTTGCATTTGTTGGGCATTTTGGGGCTCCCATCGTCCCGTTCCTTCTGCTTGTTAATGATGTCCCTCGGGATGGCAGCCCTAGCCCCAGCATATTAGGAGGGTCCACTCCCTCCAGTTTGGTGTTATGAAGTCACTGATACATAGCAACTTAAGAAACTTTATTTCAATCAAAAGATAGAGTTACTTTCTACGCTCTTCTATATTATATGGGGGTTTATGCTGTCCTCATAACCACAGTGTTGATGTAGTTTGAAATAAATTTGGGTTTGTCTTCAATGGACAACTCAGGATACGCAGGAGGATAGAGCTAAATTTATAGCATCATAGCTACTTCACACTTAGTGTCTGTGCAGACACTTAGTGAATACTCAGCATAGTGCAATTTATAAAGCGGAGTAAGCCCTTTCGGAGAGTCTGTCTTAACACGTGCTAAGAACATTCACAAAGCAACTTCTGACTAACGAGCCTTCCTTCGTTCCCACTGCAGGTTTAACCTTATTGAGCTATAGAAAAGGCACTGAATATGGAACTCCTCTGATAATCTTCCTCTGCTATGAGAATTGACTGTTTATTCTTACTTCTCTCCTATCTTAAGGTCGCTCAGTGTCCTTAAAATCTTTTGATGACGTGTTTTGCGGAATGCCTTTTGGAAACCCAGGTAGGTCATATGAGCTTGCATTTGCCTAAGAACTTACTTGTTCATGTCTCTGAAGAGCTCAAATACCTGTATGAGATAGGACTTTCCTCTGTTGAAGCCACATTAACTCCTCCCAAATATGTCAGCCTTTTCTAGGTGTCCAGCATCACCCTTATCCAGGTGTCCAGTCTGCTCCATTCCTCTTGCTTTGTCTCAGCACGTGCTGCCCATTTGTTCGCTGCCATGTGGTGTCTCAAGCTGTTTCCCGTTCCCCAAAAGGATTTAACTCTGCTACCTGCCCCTTAGGTTTTTCTGAACAATACCAATTGAAATACATAAGATCAATTACCGCACGATTATGCTATGATCTTAGGAAAATCCTATAGATGAGCTTGGGAAGCCTGGTTTACCTTCATGAACATGCTGAATCCAGTTTTAAGGAGATCAGTGAGGCCTGATGACATATGCTCAATATCAACAGGATCAGGTCGATCAGGATTACAGATCTCTTCCACTACCTGTTTCAGCAGCGGTTTGTAAGAAGCCTGTAGAAAAAAAGTAGCATACCATGTGTAAAGCTGCCAAGACTTGGTACGACTGCTTTTCTAAATGTTTTATTTCCATTAAAGGAAATGAAAATATTTATTCTCGAAAGAAAACTACTCAGAGACTTCAGAAAAATGATTGGAGCAGCAGCAGTCTCTGTGACCTTGGCAGCAAATGGTGTGCACAGAATTAGGATCAAACTGGAAAGACAGGAAGACAGCCACAGATTTACTCTGCCCTGTGAGGCAAAGAAGAAAGTGGGGCTTCTAATTTCCCCCCAGTCTTTTTTTGGGTAGTACGGAAGGGGATAGCCATAGAGATGATGCTATATATTGCCCAAAACACATCCAAAAGGTCTCATCTCCTTTGGAATATCTTTATAAAATATCTAAATAGGGATTTTGAGGAGGGTTTGCTTTACTGGTCCCCTCCTGCCTTCCCACAAACACGTGTCATGATATGGCAGGTGTCATGTCATGATTGAAGCCTGGATATCAGCACGGCCAACCTGCCTGTTTCTCCTTCGTGGAAGAGAGGAACTAAGAAGTCTTATTACTCCTTCAACTTGCAGGGAAAATGCATGCAAAAAATACTTGCTGCTGTGGAAAACCTTGTGAAAAAAAAAGCCAAACCACCCCGCCAATATCAGAATTTTTATTTTGTCTAAAATACCAACAAGGTAAAAAAAGAGAGTAGATTTAGAGAGGACAAAAGCAGGTGTTCGCATCAGAATTAAAAGGAAAAAGCTAGGTAGGGTCATAAATATTTTTATTATGTCATCTGATTCAAGCAAAATGACATTCACAATTAATGGGTGATGACACCTCAAATACTAGTATCATCCACATACCACTCCAGACATATCCATAACCATCTAAAGAAACTGGAGATTAGACATCCTTCTTACGTGGAGAAGCATATTTGAAAGTGGGAGTTTTCCAACTGACACAGGCATCTAGCCAGTAAGTGAACTGGGACTCCCAATTCTTTTCAAAGTGCGCTAAGCACTTACATGTGATCTCTTTCACTAACCTGTCCACTAACCTGTGCTGAATAAGAATTAGTAGTCTAGAAATTTTCATATCCCTTTATGAATGGTCTGAACCATTCTGCCACCCTTAAAACGTTTCTAAGATGAAAATTTTAGGGAATCGTGAAAGACCTTCTTCAATGAAAAATCCACCTTGCTTAGTTTTGTAGATGGGGTTTCATTTTGCTGCTTTCACAACTTTGCCAAAACTGCAGTGGAACCACAATAATTTCAGGAAGCACACCAGTCTTAGAAAATTAGCAGCTTTAAATTAATACACTTGTCTTCTTCTTTTGGCACCAGTCCAGGTATGCATCATCCCTAGATTTCTTAAGAAAATCAAGTGTTACGTCATTCAGTTGGCAGAGACGAGACCTACAAGAGTCATCATGCACGATAAACATAAAAATGGATGGAAAATAAAAGCAGGCCAATTAGTTATATAGCTTGGAACTAACATTTTCTAAAGTATTCTCAGTAATTAGGGATGTTTTCCATCCAACAGTTTACAGTGAGAAATAAAACTTACATTTTTAAAATACATTTCTATCAACAACGAAGATTTATACAATTCTTCTAGTCCTTCTTACAAGACGCGCGTAATTTTTAATTGAGCCAACAAAGCAAATTACAACAGACGTTAGCTGCAGTATCTTTCAATAGAGCATGCCAAGATATGCGTCAAATCTAGTCATGCAACAAACAACTGTTTGAATATGTACATACAAGCATGAAGTTCTGCGTACAAAAATCTGTTTATTACCTTCATAGTACTATAGAAGAGGCTCAGAAAGACATTACAAATGAAATATTTGGAGCAAAGAGCAAAATCATAGCTAAACAGAGAGCTTCACTTCATGAAATTAAAGGATAAATATTATCTGACTTGAGTCATAACTATTCACTCTAAAGGCAGGATGTTAAAAATGTGCTACAATTTTGTGTCTGAATTTTCATGCACTAAAACTTAGTCCCCTTCAAAATGACCCAGGCTGGCTACACAGATACTGAAAGATAGATATGAAAATCACCTGTCATTTTTAGCTATGATATTTTCAAAAACTTCCAAAATATTTCGTGACTTGAAATTCATCTACTAAATTGTCAGGAAGTAAAAAATACAACTCCCAATAGCTACGCTGATGTCTAACTCACACAATATAACCATTATCAAATTTAAATTTTGGCAGAGCACAAATTCTATTTAAAACAGTTGTTAAAAAGCTATGGCTTACGAAGATATGGGACAAACGACAGACATGAGCTATCTCAGATTATTCAAAAAGAAAGGAAGGAAAGAAGGGAGGAGGAAGCGAGGGAGGGAAGGAGGAAAGAGGTGAATACATTTAAGATCAAGAATGAAAGGAAAAGAACAGTAGTTACAATATCAGACAAAATAAATACTCTCCTCTTGCATGGTTGCTACAGTAAGTGATTTGACAACCTGACGGAAAAATTCATTAGCTCTTTTTATGTTAGACACACAAACTGCAATGCTGTGAAAAGTCCTTTTAAGAGGCCATTCAATTCTGCCCCCTTGCTTAAGTATAGGAATCATTTTTTGCTTTAACAAGAAATGAAGGCTTCCCAGCAGACAGAGTGGGAAAGCACCTCTAGGGGGAGCCCATTCACGGGCAGGGCAGGGAGCGTGTATGCTCATGGGAAGGGTAGCGCTTCCTCAAATGAGCTAACCTGGTGCATGCAATGCTCTGTCCATGCATTAACATCTGCCAGTCAAAGGAGAGAGACATTATTAGAGAGTTGTATGGCAGCAAACAAATATGCTGCCTGCTTTTTCCAGCTACTCTAAAAGTGCTGAACAGCCTTAGCTGTTGGCCATATTCAAGACAATTAAACCCTTCATATAGTCAGATTAGGGGGCTGCAAGGTGTTAATACATCCCTTGCTGCATATCAGCGCTTTGCCCCAAGCAAGCAAACCCAAGTTACATCCAAAGAATGCACAACGCTAATTACGTTTCCAGGAAACTTCTAGAGGGTATTTTCTTATCCTCTGACTGCCCCCACAGTGAACCGTATTAAACGTTTTACAGTTTTCCCCGTTTTAGACATCAGACTGGTCGTAAGTGCCAAGAGACCTGAATAATGCGTTTCCCTCACCTCACCTTTCCAGTGCCATTTGCAGCGCTTCTGACTCCTGTTGTTACAAGCATTGCTTAATTTGAACTATATCCCTTTACTGGCCTATAGTACACTTTAGAGCTTGGAAGGATTATTTTTCTGGCTCAAGGCTGGAATCAAGTTTTACAGTCTCTCTCTAAATTGCAGTATTTGCTTTCCATTGGAAAACTGTCTATTCTTAACTGAAGAAGTTAAACACTTGTGGGGACAGGGCAAAGAGAAAAAAACACAGTAAATTTAGTCCTGATGACCTGTACTAATAGAGTAGCTCATGTGTTAAATTTTTATAAACAAAAGCTGCGTTTTTCCCCCATTTAAAAATGTCACAGCCTCTCACAGCTACGGAGAAGGGAGAGAAAATACAGAGAAACATAGTTGCTGTCTGGATGCATGCATGCTGCTTTGATATGTCATAAGGGATCTTAGTCCAGTACAGTCTCGACCTAGTCCTGCCTTTCACAGACATTTATATCCTACCACAGTGCTGCAGAGCAAATCCCAGATTTCTTAATCAGGCAAAATTCTTTATTAACTGTGACACAGATACGCCTGTGTTTGGATTAAGGACTTCAGGAAGTTCTTGATGATTAGGTCAATTATAAAATATATACTCAAATGCATTCCACATGGGCAAAACACATCTAGGATCAGTACATAAGCAAAATTAGTCCTATTAGTGGTGGTGTAATTTTGACAGCATCCTAGAGAAATAACATAAACGGGGGAAAAAAATGATCCACTTGCCTGGTGGGTGTTGCTGCCTGGATTATGGATGGAATTAAACTGTTTCAGGTGCATTCGAGCTCTCGCAATACCCCTGAGGGACTCAAAGATATCATCCACTGCATCTGTGGCTTTCTGCAACGCCAGGTTCAGAGATGAATCACAGCCTAAAGTAACAAAGAAACATGGAGCGGAGTGAGTGAAAAACTTTCAAGTGTTTTGACAATAAGCAGTGGGAAAAGGATAACTAGGAGGAAATTTTAAATCAGCTTAATCTTGTTAGATTCTAGAAACTCAGCTGCTTATTATACAGCATGTCCTCAGCATGGTGTGAGTCTCTGTAGCTAAACAAGAAGCTGTAAGTCCTACACGGCAAACTAAGCGAACAACACCTCTGTCACATTTGTAACTTAAAAACACTTTCACAGGTGCACAGTGTGCTTTGTTCTCTGCAGCAAACACAAGAATTCATATGTTAGCAGGCCTTGAAGAAAAAGCCCCACCTGGAACGGAGCCTTTCCATTTGCTGGTCTCCTCAGGGTGACACAGCCATGACAACACAAAGTGCTCTTCAGGTATTGCCCCTGGGCCCAGGCTAGCAGCCTGGCGACTCCAAATGCAAACGCATTTCCTACTGTGGCAACAAGAAAAGGGGGAAAAGTCTGTGCTAAGTGCTGTGGAAATGATATCTAAATGTTGGCAAGAATCATATAGCGATCACAAAACCAGTCCTTCTCCCTCAAAGTTGCACAATTATTATTTTTAATGCATTTGCCCAAAGCATTTCTGCTAAGATACGATGTTTAACTTCCACCGAGACCTTGAGGCTTAACCCAAACTCCATTTACAGAAACATGTAAACGACCCCTTCAGTTTGCCAGGCAGTGCTTCGGCAAAGAGAAATTCTTATCCTTGACTCCATCCATCTCACCACAGGACCTACGTTGCACAGATGAGGAGAAACAATACTTTCTCAATTGATTTGCTATGTTTGAGAATTGTCCAAGTTGGAGAATTATTGGGTAGTCTGGTATTTATATTGACCTGCTAACACGCTCTATGTCTTTTGACATCTCTGCCTGCCTTTCTTCTCTCTTGACTTCTAGTCAAAACAGCCACCCACACACAGCCACCCACACATACACACACGCACGCGCACACATGCATACGCATGCACGCACACACACACTCCTGATCCTCTCAGATATTTCTCACCAGGGTCAGTGCCGGTGTAATGTTTTGTGTCTTCACCCCCAGCCTTGCAATAGGTCCTGCACCAGTAAATTTTTAGGTTTGCTCAGACACAGACACCTACTGATAGATACCAGGCACCAGCACCCACCAGCTGTGCTGGACTGCAGGAACTGAGCCTGAAACTGAAAACAGAAATCAAAGGCTGTCCTTGAGTATGGATTTTTCGGGGGGAGATGTAGGGAGGAAGTGACTCTGAACTAACTTCGCTCTACAGCTGATGAAGGCCAGAGTCTCTATGCACTAAAGAAGCAAGAAAAAAAGGGAGTATTTTCAACATTTACAGGGAGGTCTGAACAGTAAACTGACCTGGATCATTGTCTTTCATATCTTTGCATTCTATACAGCAAGTATATATATATATATACATGACAACATATATATATGACTAGAAGTTAGATCCCCAGCTGTTTTTGTTCTGTTGCACAAAAGAATTACTGTACTTCTGCAGAGCGCCATCAAACCGAGGAACGGAGGGTTTATGGCACTACGTCCCACAAAGCAATGGAGCGAGCATGAACCAGTCCTCAATGACTGCCCTGTTCTAATTCTAAGGCAAACGCTCTCACATATATTTTTGCACAGGGCTCTTGACATTAATCTCTTTTTTTAAAAAAAAAAAAGAATGCAGAACAATTAAAAGAAGTATTTTTGTCATTAAGTACGTGCAAGATCTGCATGCATTGACACTCTGAGTAACCAAAGTCAAGTTCTTCATTTGGCAGAAGAATATGAATGCTGTCGATGAAAGTACTAGAGACAAAACCCCACTCCTGCAGCTCATTTCCCCACTCCATAAATGTAGTTACATTAGCGGTGCTCTTGAAACTAGTGAGTTTGCTCCTGCGAGTGATCTCGTGCTGGTTTATGCGCAAGGGAAGAGAGCCCAACAGCTGAAAAAAGTGAAAGTGAACACCTCCTAGATAGATGAGGTCTATATATAAAGTCTGAGCTAACAAATCACGGCTTATATGTATCACTAAGGCAGGCAAAATATTCAGAGAAGATCTTAGATTGTCAGTGTGCTTTTAACCTCCTCAAGGGAAAACATAAGAATGAGAAAACAAGGAAGTCAGTGTTAGCTCCCAATAGAGAGGCCGAACATTTTTAATCGTTAAGATTTATAAAGTGCTTTGCAAATGAAAAATAAAATGGAAGAACTATATCTCATTGGTGTGTTAATAGATTTTTATTCTCTTTGAGAGACAAGCTTTCCCTTTTTTAGCCACATCAGAGAGAACCAGCTTTTAGTGAACATAAATAGTTATATCTTCTCTGTGCTTTCTTCAGTCCTTTATCAGACAAAGCCATTGCTTTTTGGCCATGCACATTGGGAATGTTTATATTTACTAGCGAATGAATGTTTCCTATGTTGAACGAGTTCAGGCAAGGTAAAAATTGCTTTATTTTGGGTACTTTTTTTTCCTATTGTTTATTTTTGGACAATTAAAAGTCTTTTGTTTTGGCCCTACAGTTATTTTTCTCACTGGAAGAAATATTTATTTTATGCTCCTACTGACATCACTCTTCCCCCCCCTCCCCACCTTCCTATTTTAACAAAATCCCTTTTACCAAAAAGCTTCAACCAGCTTGTCACTTCCCAATTCTGGAACTGACGGCCAGTTCCCAGCGGACACAATCCTGTTTTGTGTCTAGAAGTCCCTGGGGTGTCCTTTGCCTCGTCCGGCTGGGCACTGCCTGCTTTACTTTTGCTACAAGGCCAACCTGCTCTCCAACAACTTCTTGGCTAAGCGCAGCCTCTGTAACCCTACTCACTATGCAACTGCGTCTCCAGGGAAATGATGCTTTCGAGCTTTGCTTTACAGTTTGTGCTAACACACACATAGGCTTGAAGAGGCTATAAAATCATTTATCCTCATGATCTGTTTAAGAGGCCGCAGCATTTCTTCCACTTACTTACTTGTTAACACAATAGCCTGAACCGAAATGAGAGACATGCAATCCATTGTTTGCCTTCAACAATGGCCCATGGCTTATCACCTTCAGCATTTAACAAGCAGCCCTGAGAAGCCTGGAGTTCCCGAGGTGCTATCCTATAGCTTGATGTCCGTGGAGGAGGGCTTTGAGTGAGCAACAGCTGAAGCTGCTCCTGGGACTGGAGGCTTCTTGTAAAGTCCTTCCCTCTGGTGAAGTCTCTGAGGTCTACCAGACTGAAAATGCGCACTGTAGTCTTCCTCACCGACCGGAAAAGTGTCTCTTGCCTTTTTGCACACCTTTCAACAAGACCTACAGAAATTTAATAATCTTTGAGACTCCTTATTCCTCTACCAAATATGTCTGCAATTAGACAATGGATTTAAAAGTCAGTCCATGAAGTCAGTTTTTCCATACAAGAGCCTGATTTTCAGAGGAAACTAAGTAAAAAACTTCCTTGGCTTTAAACTCCATTCATTTTTAAACGGACGTAAAAGGCCTCAGTTTATGAATACTCCTAGTTTCTTTAGCATGAATTGGTATATATTCTCATTGTTTAAAAATTAGAGGAAAAGATTTATGTTTATGATGCACCTTTGAACCTAAGAAACAATCCTTCTTCTCAGCCTAAAAACTCATCCTCTGTCAACCTATGCCCAAACCAGGCACGTATTACATCTGCAATCAAGAAAAGTTTATAATGCAAATATTTTTGTTTACATTCTAATTTTTGTGTCTATGAAATTAAACAGAAAACTTGTTGATGTAAATATCTGCTGTATTTGTTCAATCAGGTTGATTCAGAAACATTTAATAAAAATATTTTTCTCCATCTGACCTTCTGCACTGTAGATCCTTCCTTCTACATGCAGAAATCCACAGAGTAAGTGCATGGCTGGGTATAGACACTGAACCAGGGCAAATTGGCCTTGCAAGCAACACAGTCAATCCTAAAAGTGACTCTGACTGGACTGAAATGAACCACAGGCACGGAGTTTTGAAAGCCATCTTTCCTGCTGTTTTTCTAAACGGCAGAAATACCACCTACTGACACTATCCATTTTTGTCTCTACATTCTCACAGAACTCCGTTAAAACACCTCTAAAGCTCAATTGGCCTGAATAAGCTTTTACTACTGTATGCAGAATTACAGACATTGAAAGCTCCAGGATATAGTTCTCATCAGCACGGTTGGATTATTGCAGAGCACTATACAAATAAGAGACAAGGGAGAGGAACATCATGCGAATTGTAGTCCGAGGTGAGCACAGAGGTTCGTAGCAGGGACTGCAGCAGGTATGTACAGAGCTGTCATGGGGTCAGGGTGGGCTCCGCAGTAGCAGAGGTGGGTGCCCTGCTGGCCCTCTCTGCTCCTTCGGGGAAACAACGCGCCGGCCGGTGGCGTAGGACATGTAGGCCAGCGGCTCCTGGAGGAGCAGGAACGGCCAGCAATGAATGTGCATATTCTACAGCTGCCCAAAGCTGGTACGTTGCTCAGCGGCCAAACTGCAGAGTCTGTACAAGGGTAACCTCCAACATTTGTTGTGCATCATTCCTCTGTTTACCTGTCCTGCTAGTTCCCACAGCAGGCAAAGGAGGCGTGCTTCCCGGGGCCCATCAGAAAAGTGCCTTCTCTGGGACTTCTGATCAAGCAAAATCACGTCTGGGGCTCACATGTCATCACAAGTCACGGCTCTCCTTTTCCATCTGGCAGTCTGACATCCAGTTTTTCATTCCAGTTCCTGATTTTTAAATGTATGCTAAACAAAAAGGTTTCCTTTTCAATCCCTTATTGCTGAAATCAGTTACGAAACCCCCAGGTTCTCGAAAGGCGGCTGCATACCTGTAACACTGCAGCAGGTGTGGGCAGGGTAGCAGCCTCCCCTCGGGACCGGCGAACAAGAGAGGCTGTGTTGAGCGAGTGGCATGCACGGACAAAGCACCCCCCGCGCCCACCTTCGCCGTGAATGGTGCTGGGTGC